TGCCAGTCGCCGCAACAAACTACAGAAACTCACCACTTTCAGGAATCGCCTCATGTGGTGGGCACTGTTCAGTCCCAAATCTGAGGGGCAGACAGAGGTGGGCCAAATGCATGATCCAGAACCAGAAGCCAAAAATGTCCCAAAGCCATATCAGGTCGTCTGGCTTCTCCCCGAGCTCCGTCAGGAAGCAGAGGCCGGGCGTTTCAGGGCCGTCATCAGTTGCATCGTGCCAAGAGAAGAACTGAGTTGTGGACTGTCGGCTCCATGGAAAGTTCTCTCTAGAATGGGAAGAAGAAAGGAAGAGACTAGAAAATGAAGCTCAGTGGGCTTATGAGTAGCTTCTGGTTATTTGAATGAGGAAAGGAATATCCCATGTCTCCGTTTGAAATGACCTCTGCTTCTCTCAGTGTGTTTTGCATGTGGTGTTTTTGAAGGAGGAAGCTGGGCTAAAGCCACTTCTCTCCAGGAACTGGGAAGAAACAAGTCCAAGCAGGGACTGCACACCGTTTGCCCTAAGGAAGCACCAAGGTTCGTCCTGTTTCTGTTTTGCAGGAACTCTGGAAGGATATATACAGGATATATACAGCTTCATGAGACCATAAACACGGACGAGCAAGGTTGCTGTACTTTGTCTCAAATTACAAACCATTTGACTTAAAAAAATGGACAGTTCCCCATATGGTTGTCATTTGAACCATGGACCCTTCTAAAACACCGATTTTATTGAGGGATGTAACCGTGCACATCTGTTCAGATGAATGGCCACCTGGGCTAGAGGTCTGGGAGACTGTTGATTGTAGCTGAGCTCCCCAGCAGGGGAGCATTTATGCCACAGTTACAGGTACTTTTACACCCTCCTCCCCAACCGTATTTCCCCATTTCATTTCCTTCTGATGTGCAGTGATCTGCTGAGGTTTCCGAAATGGCCATTAGGTTTAAAATGCAAAAGTAAAAGATGTGCCGCCTTCTTTGCTTGGTTGCTTTTGAATGCTGGCTCTGAAACCCATTGGGGTCATAGATAAATAAAAGGCAGAGAAGCATGGGGTGCATTTTTGCTGTTCCTATTAACATGGATCCAGCCCCAAAAGGTTAGGATGCCGATAGTCAATATTAGAGCCCCCTTCTCTCTCACTCTTCCAGGCCCTCCAGGCCCTCCCCACCCCTTCCCAGAACCCCTTCCAAAGGCACAGATGCTTTTGAAGGGAGCTTATTACATGAGCACGGAGCACGGAGGCTGCTGTGGATTCTGTCTCTCGTTGCTCTGCCACCAGGAGCCGTGGTGACTCAGAAGACAGCAATTTAAGAGCAAGTGAGAGGCTATGTCCGTTTTTTAAGTACTTTTGTTTGGTGTCCCTTGAAACTCTCCATCTTCAGCCTGTGCCCCACAATTCCTAAGGCAGGAGAGTGGAGTGGCTCAGTAGGCAGGTGGTCCAGTCAGACTCCAGGGTCCCGATTCTGACGCTGTCTCTGTTCATGTCTCACCTTGGGCAAGTTACTGACTAAGTGCTCAGAGCCTCAGCGATTCCTCCATGAAACGTCATGGGAGCTATTGAGGGTGAATGAGGAAACATAGCTGACATACTAAGTATGGTGCCCAGCACGCGGTAAGTGGCTATACATGAGCATTGCATGCTGCCATTTTACGTAGAAGCAGCACATAGATCAGTGTCATGGATCAAATGGTGTCCCCTTAAAGACAGGTTGGAATCCTAAGTCCTGTACCTGTGAATATAACCTTGTTTGGAAATCGAGATTTTATGTTGTTATTAGATTAAATGATATACCAGACCAGGACGTGTTCTAGTCCTAATCCCCACTTGTCCAAGCACTGTTCTAGGTACTTGGATGCATCCAGGGACAAAACGGTCTCCCAATCGTCTAGGGGTGTTCATCGATGTATACTAAGAAAATACACCCACTCCTCACTCAATGACTACCCCTTTAGCTGACATTTCTGGCTCTCATCTGCACCCACACATATATCTGACTGTAATAAGTGCAAGGTGAGACTACCACTGACTAGGAGGGTTAAGTTTGTGGGTCCACTTGGCCGGGCCATGATTCTCAGTGGTTTGGCAGATATGTAATGCTGTCATTTGGCAGTTATGTCATGGTGCCGCTACCTTCCTTTTGTGATTTGATATGCTCATTCTCTGTTGTGTACGTAGCGTCCTGACCTTTGGAATCTAACCATGTCAGTCAATAAGGGAGGAGTGGGGGGAACTATCACATGGCATACGTGCTCGAGCATGAGTAAAGCATGTAAAGGGTAGAGAGTGATGAGGAGGCTTCTGTAGTTGGGGTGGTCTCTGAGGATAGGACATTGGAACAAGATTCGTTGAGGCTGCCTTGAAGGAGATAGCTATGTGGTTACTCGGTCTCCGGCGGAAACTAGAGCAATTGGGCACTCCCAGAGACAGGACAGAGCTTGGTCACTGAGCAGGAGTAGAACAAGGAAGGGGTGACCGTTGGGAAGTGGAATTAAGGCGATACCGGACATGAAACTACGCAGAGTCTTTCAGGTCAACGAAAATCACTGCAGTCATTGATGCTCCACTCCCTGCTAGGCTTGGGTTATTATCCCATTTGAATCATCACAAAGCTCCTTTACTCTCTTCTAATTCACCCCCCTGAATGGTAAGAGTCACCTTGGATTCTAGAGCACCTCAGTTTGTTAGCCAGCTCTCTCTCTCTCTCTCTCTCTCTCTCTCTCTTTCTCTCTCTCTCTCTCTCTTCAGTCCAGATTCCCAGAGCAGAGAAACCCATTTTGAGAAGTGCAATGAGAGACTTGTTTACCGCCTTTGTTATTTTAGATGACTTGCCTTAGCCTCCCCTTACGTTTGGGCAAGATCTGATCACAAAGCATGGCTTCTGCACCTAGCCCTACCTACAGTGACCTCCTCTCTTTCAAAGCGTGGTAACAGTTACATAGAGCACAGGTATCCTGGTAAGAAGATGTTAAGAGGAATTTAGCAGTGCATCAATAGCTCATAATCTCTGTATTCCATTCTGCAATAAAGAGCTATCCTTCCTTGGTTGGTCTATCACATCGAGGGCACTCTGAATGAAAATGTGCAGATTTTAAATTCGTTATTGGAAAGTTCTAAGATAGGTTCCCAGATGAAATCACATCCTAAATAAGTCTAAGGATTTATTTAGTAAGACTTTCTGATTTATATTAAGAAGAAAAAGATAATATAAATGGAATTTAATTTCCTACAATTTTAGTATCGTCAGTCAGAAATGGGAAGACAAATAAGTACATGCATGTAGGCCTATAGATAGAACAATTCCCTGGAGGCAAAATCATTTTGAAATGAGAGTGATCCAACCTGGGCCCTAACACCAAAGATTTGTTTGGGGAGGGTATGTTCCAGACTCCCGGCTGTTCTTGTCTTGCATAAAAAGCACTGAAGATTTATTTTCTAAAGTTGTCATCTGACAGCTTCCCCTTAGAAAGCTAGCGCTCAGTTAATCCAGCCATAACATATTAAGTTTACTTATTAGTGCTCAGGTCCCAGATGCTCAGGAGAGTTTTCTGTTCCTTACTGGTGTACAAGAAGCTTCAGGGTTTAATGGTACAAGTCAACAATTCTTGTATTATGGTTCATAGCCGGCATATACTTGTATGATTTCCTTTTTTATTATTGTGTTTAAATTCCATATCATTAAATTAATGACACCATCAACATAATTACCTTATGTCCCAGGGAGATGAAGGGTAATATTCTGTAACACAAAATAACAATGGTGTCTCTAAGGTGCACCAGAAACATATATAAACTATAGACATAAAAAGGGATTAATTCTAGTCTCAATCTAAGAACAATCAGTTCTCATGACTCTGCTTGATATTCACTCTCATGAAGAGACCATTGAAGATATGGGTGCTCTAACAAAATGTGGCAAAGAAACTAGATGGTACCCAGCTACCAGAAAAACTAGCGTCTAAGGTCTTAAAAGTTTTTCTTCGAACTAGCATGCATCTAAGGGAGGTGCCAACTAATTCTACAAGGAAGAAGCATACCAGTCTGTGTGATCCAATGATTGTAAATAATATGATCCAAATCCAAGGGAAGGACTTGTATCAGAGCTTACGTTGTGAACACTTGGTTTGCAGAGGACCACTGACGACAGTGGAGGACCGAAGTCCATTTACAGGGTCCGCACATGGACTAAGCCTCCGGTGAATCCCTTCTGACCACAATCCAGGATGTCAATTACCTTGTTATCAGACAAAAAGCATGATAAGGTTGATCATACTTGATGTTGTTAGGTTAAAATGTAATATTTGATCATTTCCTCTCCCTTTTGACACATTTAAAACTTATTTCAATAAAGGGGAAGTAGACGTGGATTAAGTATTCGATGAATCCCCTCTGACCCTGGACTAGGGGTCTGAATAGCCTTGCTCTCATGCAGAGTACATTGGGAAGTGGATTATGGCTAATGCAATTAGCTTAAAATTTAACAGCTTATCATTTTCTCACCCTTTTGGCCCATTTTGCATTTGTTCTGGTTTTTGATACTTTCTATTCCACTGAGGTTTTTCTCTGTTTGACATGGTTATTGTTGTTAGCTTTGGTTGGTTGGTTGTTGGTTTTGAATGTTTTTCCGTATATGAAGTCCAGGATTGGTAAATATCGACAGAGACAGTAACTGGTTTAATGGGTTCTTAGGTGTATGGCAGGCGAGGTTGCAGCGAGATGTGGAGCTAATGACAGTGAGTAAAAGCAAGAAGAAATGTTCTAAAATTGATTGTGGTGATGATTGCACAATCTTCTTGATATGATTGTACTGTTGGATTATATTGTACATGTGGATTACATGCCAATAAACTGTTTAAAAAAAAAAAAGCTTAAGTCAACAACCCTCTCCATAGGAAAACAGGATCCTTAAGGTCAATAAGAAGTGTGTGTGTGTGTGTGTGTGTGTGTGTGTGTTTAGTTTTACTTAGTCCACTCAAAGTATCCTACTTAACAACTACCCTTTGCAATCAGGGCAAACCTGGAGATTAGCTATGCCAAAGGACTTCAGAAACTGGCAATCAAACTGGGCAAAGTGTTACAGAACATGAACAAAAAGTAAGTATTATGGAAGAGGTAAGGCAAGATCACTCTGAAAAATAATAAAAAGTGGCATAGGGTGCGGTTTCAGCTTCCTGCTATGAGAAGAATAGAAATGTAATGTCGGCACGTCTTCCAGGGCTGTGAGCTTGCTCGGTGCCAGACACTGCGCCAACTGCTTGCTTGGTCCTCTCCTTCATCCTCACACCAACCATTGCGAGGCCTTACTCTGTTCACAAATGAGGATGTAAGGTCTGAAGAATCTACGAAACTTGCTTGGAATCACACAAATAATGCACCACAGAGCTAAATTTATCTGAGCTCTGTTTAACCTCTAAACTCCCATTCATCACTGGGCTGTGCTGGTGATGTTGGACTTGGGGTTCAGGAGGTGGCTCTTACTCTGTGGCCTCAACAAGTAGCCTGGACTCTGCCCACCTTGGCTCCCTCCTTTGTAAGCTAGAGGGAGGAGACGTGTACCGCTGTGTGGATGTATGTGGCGGGGAAAGGATGCAAAGTCAATGAGCTAAGCTATGTAAAGACCTTCACACACTGGTGCTAAAGAAAAGTGGGGCTACAGTCTCCTCACTGTATTGCAGGACAGAGAATAAAGTAGATTCCGTCTTTTGGAGGAAATAGTCCATTAGTGATAATTTACTAGAATCATTCTGGACTAATGCATTCAGATCAAAGGTCTCTTGACAGTAAGACAGTGGAAAGGAAAAGCAGTCGCTGAAGCTCAGGCTCCTATTATTTTTCGGTTCATCGCCTATAGTCGCAAATGATGGTTTTGAAATGGCTCTGACTTTTGCCTTTATATTTATTTTTAGGAGAGTATTTTAATGGACTACAAAGGAGTCCGTATAGCACAGTGGTTGGTACAGATAGACTTTTTTCAAACAGCCCAGGCTTAAATTTGAAGTCCACTTACCAACTGGGTGACCCAGGACAAGGTATTCGCCCTCCCAAGATCTCTTTAAAATGGAAATAAACCTTGATCCTGTGGTTGCAGTGAGGATTAAATGAGCTAATACAGGATGAGGGGTTAGCGGAATACCTAACACAGAGTGAATATACTGTAAATGTATCTTATGATGTTGATTCTAATTATTGCCATAAGAGTGAAAGATAAGTGTCTCAGGTTACTTTTCTTATTCATGTTGTAACCCTTGCAGCCAGTATAGTACTACCAAAGAGTTGACATGTCCATGTTTGGTTTACTAGGATTGGTAGAACAATGTTTAGTAATTCTGCCCCATAATGACCTTACAGGTCAGGGTAGAAGTGCCCCTGTGGGTTTCTGAGGCTGTAACTGTAATGGGCACAAGGCATAAATAGAAAATTCGCCCAAGATGACATCCAGGTGACCAACAATCACACGAAGAAATGTTGTTTATTAGCAGTGAGAGAAATACAAATTAAAACAACAATGAGATACCACTTCCTCAACACTTTAGCAAAGTTCATTAAAACAGAAAATAATAAATGCTGGAGAGGATACGGAGCTATCAGAGCACATTGACAGTGCTGGTGGAACTATGGAATTTCACAAGCACGATGGAAATCAGTGTGGCACTGCCTTAAACAAATGCAACTACAAATACCTCATGGCCCAGCACCCCTTCTACCGGGTGTTTTATCCTCGATAAACCAAGAATGCAGCATGAACAGACATATGCACACCTAGGGCTATTGCAGCAATTTCCATAACAGCAAAAACATGGAAACAACCAAAACCCCCTATTAGAGAGGAATGTTCAGGTCTGTTCACACTATGGAATATAATGCATCAATAAAACCATGATGACCCTCTTCAACACTGCAAGACCTGGACAAAGCTAGAGAGCATTGTGCTTAGCAAACTTAGTAAATCTCACGGAGATAAATGTTTAATAACATCATTATTGTAAAGAAATGTGGTTTATACTTCAAAATACAAAATACTGCTAGGAAGCCATGGATGGGGTAGGAACAAGGAAGGCGGATGGGGAGGAAATTGAAGTGGGAAGGAGGTGGGAGAATTGAGCGGGTAGAGAACCACACATATGGAGGATTTAACAATTTGGGGATGGACTATGTAAATATATACAGTATGTTTCTTTTAAAAAAGTAAATTCCCACCAAATTCCATACTCCTAAAAACCTACATAGTTCTTTGAGTGGCTGACAAGGGAAAAGAAAAAGGAAAACTGAAATGGACTTGGAGTCTCTAGTGACACAAAGTTCATCTCAAATTTGAAAAAACAAAGAAAGCCAGCCCCATGTCTGCAGAGCAGTGGCAGGTGGCTTCAAACTGCTGACCTTGCACTTTACAGCCCAACACATCACCACTATGCCACCAGGGATCCTGGGTATTTGCACAGACCTACTAAAGTGTTTGTCCTAAAAGGTCAGTGAGATGAGTCACAGAAACCAGCACTTAATTTTCCAAGCTCTCCAAGGAAGTTTGTCTGCAATCCCTTCCTCCCTTCAGCCCCAAACCATCCCCGGTCTGCTTTGGCCAAGATCGATATGCTTGCCTCCCCTGGAATTTCCTTTAAATGGAAGCACACAGTAGATCCCCTCAAGTGCCTGGTTTTGTGTCTGGTTTAGGAAAGGCAGAACATCTAGCATCCTTTGATCTTGGTCTCCCACTCTGACTGCACAGGGTACCCTTAGCCATGAGGAAGCACAACACCTGTGTCACCATGTGTTTGATGTGGAGAGGCGGGAGGAGGACAAATGTGTTCTTCCTCATCCACCATCAAAGTTTACACAACCTCTGTCCCTGGGGTTGATGAACACAACCGATCTTTTAAGGCACTTTTATATGCACTTCCGGGAGAAAGGTGAAGCTTTCTACTGTAAAGAGTTCGAGTCTCAGAAACCCAGAGACAGTTCTGCCCTGTCCTATAGGGTGGCTAAGAGTTGAAGTCGATTGGATGGTGATCAGTAGATGGACTTCAAGAGCAGCCTGGTGGCATCGTGGGAGAAATGCTGGCCTGCTGACCACAAATCCACCCGCCCCTCGGAGGGAGAAAGTCTCAGAAAGCGGCAGAGACTCGTGGCAGTGAGAGTTTGGTATGGACTTCTGTGGGCTGTGCTCCTTTTGTGGAATCGAGTCAATTCTGACTCATCGCAGCCCTACAGGACATCAGGGGCCACTCCTGTGAGTTTCTGAGACTATAACTCTCTCTGGGAATAAGAGAGCCTCAACTTGGTGGTTTCAAGCCCTGGGTGGTTTCGAACTGCTGATCTTGGGGTTCGCATCTCAACTGATAACCACTAGGCTACCAAGGCTCTTTTATGGCGAAATAGCATGGCCTTTTCTAATTCTCCCTGCATACCACTAGAAAAATGGTGGTACTATCCTTTGTGTTAAATCTGGGCACTGCTTACAAGACCATAGACCATCTTAGCTGTTTTCCTAAAAGCCAGCGGGGAGTCGGATTTGGATCCCATCCCCAGGAGCAGCCAGCAGGCTGTGACCTGCAGTCCTTCGTCGCTTGGTGTGACTGTAATGGAAACACCACAAATGTGCGGCATTGAAAGGAATAGAAATGTGTTTTCTCCGTTTTTGCGAGGTATCACAGGGAATAAAGGGAGATAGAAGGCCAAATCCAGGGCACCAGCTACCAGGCAGGTTGTCTTCTGCAGGCTCTGGGGGGAGAGCTTTCTCTCTTGTTTCTTGATCCTTGGTGACCCTCCCATGGCATCTGTCTTCCCGGTTTGTGCTTCCTTCTGTTTCTGTGTATAACTTGGAAGTGATTAGGTTTAGGACACAGCCTACACTGATACACCCTCTGACTGTTAAAGTGTAGAGATTGGGATTCTAGCACCTATTTTGGGAGAACACAATTCATTCCATGTGTGTTAGTCTGGGTTAACTAGAGAAACAAATCCAGACACACTCATATGCATGTAAGAGAGAGCTTTATATCAAAGAGTAATTATATATTAAGAAAACATCCCAGTCCAGTCCAGATCAAGTCCAAAGTCCGATATTAGCCCATATATCCAATACCAGTCCATAAATTCCTCTTCAGACTCATGCAGGACATGCAATGGAAGACCACAGGCCAGTGGGTGGAAAGTCTTTTGGATCCAGTGGCAGTGGAAGCATCTCAGCACAGGGGTCTCCATATGAGCTCCTCCAGTTCCAAGGATTTGGCTCCATCAGTGTAGCTCCATCTGGCTTGTCAACAGGAATGCCTCGCAGGGAGAGTGTGGCTGGCCTCCAGTGAACTATTTATCTCTGTCTTGCCTCCAAATGAGGCCATCAAGCAGCAACCTGATTAACAGGCTAGATTCCACCCCTTCCTCCAGTTGATAGTAGATTATGTAACTGCCACACCACACTGACCTGCTCTGAGCCTCAGTTGATTCATCTGTGAGAAGAGGACCCTGGAAAGCCCCTCGCCTCCTAGCTCCCACCTCTTCTAAATGCCTTCTCATGGTTGGCTCCTTTATTCCACCGATAATCTATGGACAGGAAATAGAAAATAAAAGTCTCAAGGAAGACAATGACTGGAAAGAAGGAGTATAGCAGTTAAATAATTCCTGTAGTGCAAAGGTAAGAGCCCTGGTGGCATAGTGATTAAGAAACCAATTCACAGCCCACCGCCCCTCAGATAAAGAGGTACTGTCCCAGAAACCCCACAGGGGCGGTGCGAGGGTCGATATGAATCAGAACCGACTCAATGGCAGTGGGTTTTAGTGCAAAGAAGCATAGTAATCGAGTTTAATACTATGAAAACATGAAATGAGAGCAAGGAAATAAATGGCATTGCTACACTCGTGACTCAGCTTTGACTGGGAACCTGACAAGCACCCTGTGTCCTCCTAACCTTCCCCTCTCTGTGTGCCTGCAGCTGTCTCAGCCATGCCTGGACCTGGGCCTCAGAGGGCATGAAGTCTGCCGCCGACCTGCATCAGTAAGTAAGCCGCTCCTTGCTCCCAGCCCAGCAGAGCCTGCTCGTGAGTGCTACCAAGATCCCACTTGACGTGTGCACTCAGTGCACACGCTATCACACATCTTTTTTCCTTTGCCCCAGAAAACACTTTGGAAACTAGAGGCAAATCTTAATACTCTCATATGTTCTATTCCCAGAAAACTTGCCAAAGCCATTCAGTCGGAAGCCGTAAAGCCGACTCAGCAAGTCCTGAGCGCGCAGGAGAAGAAGAGAAAATCAGTGAGTCCAACAGCTGACCCTTCTCCCTAGTTAAGGAAAGAGTTCTGTCTTTGCCCAAAGCAGGAAGGGAGGACGGAGACCATCAAAAAGGCACACCCGAGATGTCTATCTAAGGTTGATTGGTAGAACAGCGTTTAATAGCAAAGAACGGGACATGAACTGATGTGTTCGAGGAAAAAAGGGTTTGCCTCAGTTTGCAATGGGACTTCCTGTTGAGTTGCCTGGCTTCCCTGTAATCACTACTATTATGGTTGTCTCTCAAGCCATCTACATAGAGGGGTGAGGGAGTGGGGGAGTTAGTTTTGGTACAGAATTTCATCTCTTGGAATTCAAAAGAACAGTCATGTCAGGGGCGAGGAACACAGTCAAGATGAGCACTGCTGGGGTGGATAACCATCCGGCTGCTGCTCAGGTTGTGTCCCTGGCTGCATGGAGAATGAGATGTGATAGGACCGGCAGTAATAGCATCGATACAGGAGTCCTATTACACACTTAATGCACACATGTGTGTGCCTTTTACATTCGTATAGACTAGAAACAACTAGTCGACCAAAAGAATTTAGTCGACAGCCTTGAACCTTAGCAGGACTCAGATTCTTAACACAGACAAGATGAGGCCATGGGGCTGTGTGTCTAAGAAATGTGTCCACCGTAGGACTTTGTCATTTCCTTGACTCGTGACATATAGTTATTATGCCAGAGCTGTTCAGCCAGCAGCATGTTTCAACAAGAGTCAAGCCAGATTTTTTGTTTATTCTTTTTCACTCTTCAATAGCTTGATAATGAAGTTGAAAAGACAGCAAATCTCGTCATTGGCAACTGGAACCAGCAAATCAAGGCAAGTACACACAAGCATTTGTCTACTCTCGGTGTTTAGGACTGAACTTTGCTGCTGTGCAGACCTGAACACGTGCTTGAGTGTAGTAGTTGGTGGTGCTGACAAGAGAACAATGCTTCCTCGCTTGAATGATTACACACCTGGATCTCTCAACCAAGCCAATAAAAAGAGCATGGTTCTGAATTCAGTTATTACTTACAGCTAACATATAGCATGTATGATTAGATAGGTGGCTTTGCATGGTATTTATAGATAGAAACATGGAGACATAGGTTAAATAATTTCCCAAGGTTACATACCTGGTAAGTGGTTGTGTTAGTCTGCATGGACTAGAGAAACAAATTCATAGACATTCACCTGTATAAGAAAGAACATAATATCAAGAGTAATTGAACATTGAGATAACATCCCAGCCCGGTCCAGATCAAGTCCATAAGTCTGATATTAGCCCATATGTCTGATACCAATCTAAAGTCCTCTTCAGACTCACAAAATACATGCAATGATGCCAAATGCAGGAGGATCACAGGCCAGTGGGTTGGATGTCTTGTGGATCCAGTGGTGTTGTAAGCATCTCAGCGCTGGCAGGGGTCTCCACATGGCTTCTTCATTTCCAGAAGTCTGGCTCCATCAGCCTCTCTCCACGTGTCCTCTCCATTGGGATGTCTTGCAGGGAGTGAGCATGTGCCAGCCTCCAGTCAGCTATTTATCTCCTTAGCACCCAAATTAGGTCATCAAGCTACTGCCTGATTGCCAGGCTATCCTCCACCCCTTCACTCTGCATCGTCAAATTGACCCCAGATTATGTAACTACCGCAGGTTGAACCAGAATTGGATTTGATCATTGCTCTTCCTCACTGCCTCTGACTGTGCTGTAATCTTAGGCAAGTGACAGACACCACTTGAGTTTGTCTTAGGGGGTTAGGACCCCTACCTTACTGCTGAAAGGAACTTCGTGAGGCGTGGGAAGGTGCAAAGGGGACTGAGGGGAAAACAGAGATTGACTTCCCAAATATGTACAGTGCACTTCTTGTGCACAGCACGGTGCTGAGACATGGTTCTTATTTTTAAAGTAACTTGGAATTTAGTGGCTCTGGAATATGTGACTCCTTCCAAGAAAAGGAATGACCTCCTGGTGCAAGAAGCTAACGCACTACATCATCGTAAACCTTTAACCCAGCCGCCGTGGGGTCAACTCCCAATCATGGTGACCTCATGCAAGAGGGCTTCTAAAGGTTCATGGGAAGTGCCATAGAAATAGAGTAGGGTTTTTCCAAAAACTTTCTGAAGCCCATCATTAATGTCAGGGAGAATTGTGCTTCATAGGGTTTTCTTTTCTTTTTTTTTAAATCATTTTATTGGGGCTCTTACAGCTTTGATCACAATCCATCCATCCATGGTGTCAAGCACATTTGTACACATGCCGCCATCATCTTTTTCAAAACATTTTCTACTTGAGCCCTTGGTATCAGCTCCTCATTTTTATCCCCCACCCTTCCTCCCTCATGAGCCCTTGATAATTTATAAATTATTTTTTTTTTTTCTTACATGTCTTACACTGTCCGATGTCTCCTGTCACCCACTTTTCTGTTGTCTGTTCCCCTGGGAGGGGGTTAGATGTAGATCATTGTGATAGGTTCCCCCATTCTCCCCTGGTCCTCAGGGGGTTATCTGTCTTGGATTCCCTGTGTTTCCAGTTCCTATCTGCACCAGTGTACATGCTCTGGTCTAGCCGGATTTGTAAGGTAGAATTGGGGTCATGATAGTGGGGGGAGGAACCATTAAAGAACTAGAGGAAATCTGTATGTTTCATCAGTGCTAGAGTTTTCAATGTCTAGTTTTTCAGAATAGATGGCCAGACATTTATTTTGGGATACCTCTGAGTGAACTAGAACTTCCAACCCTGAAGTTAACCCTGGGGTCTAGCGGGTTAACCAACAGCACCATCCAGGGATGCTTTATGGCTTCTAACACAGAAAGGATAACTGATGGAACCTATATGGATAGATTATTCCAGAACAATTTAATACAAGGAGCAAGTATTTCAAGTAGAAAGGATTAAGGAGCCAGTAGAGAAGAAATCTGCAAAGAAACCCATTTGCCTTGATCCACTTTGAGAAAACCTGTAATTCTAAAGCTGGTGCCTGAATTTTTCATCTCCAATGAGGCAGGAATCTTCTCAAATGGATAGCCACAAGTGCCAAGTAACCAGAAAAGTACCTCAGGAGTGGGGGAAGGAGGGGCATCTCAGCCCTCCGCATTGCCTCGGAAGCTCCTGCTGACATATTTGTTTCCATAAGACCAAGGGCATTAGCTAACAAGTATTGGAGATGCATAGATCTCACTATAAGTCTTTATACTGGTTAAAAAAAAAGAATTATTTTATAATAAGCATTCAAAATCTCATGGGGGCAAAGTATCTAGTCACTTGTGTTGTTGTTGTTCCTAATTTTGCCCTTAATTTTATGAGCTTTCTTTAAAAGAAATAAAAAAGTGGGGGAGAGCTTATTATTATAAATCCATTTTCCCTAAATACTCAGCTCTCAACAGAGAATTCAACAGAATAGACCAAACGCCAGAAACAATGCTGAGAATTTACAATTGCTTCCAAGAACAAAAACCATCTTTTATCATAGCCCAGTGTGTTAGGCAGGGTTCTCTAGTGAAACACAACCAGAACATGTATGATTATATATATTAGAGGATAGGTTCACACAGTGAGAAGGACTATAACAGCTAATTAGTGTACACAGCAGTACAGAGGGCTAAGTTCAACTCACTTTTGTGGAACAGTTAATATACTGGAAGTCCTTGAACTCACATGGGCTGCCCAGTCCAAGGTCAAGGATTCTTCCCTCAGGCAAAGCAGGGAGCATCTGCATGCAGGCAGCAGGTGGGTCAGCAACAGTCAGTGCTCGGGCTTAGTGAAGCAGGCCCTGATGGGATCTCAAACTCTAGCATAGCGACAGGATCCACCATCAAGCTCAAGTGATGTCCACACCAGCAGGGTGGTGAGGCAGGTCTCAAAGGAGCCTCAAGCTCTAGTGACATGATCCACAGGTTGGCCTGGCCCACAGGTAGTGTAGCTCACAGGTTCAGGGAGCGAACTAGCTAAAGCAGCAGCACGCTGGTCTGATCACAAGAGAGCAAGAGGGAGATGGGATGCCAGCTGTCTATTTCTTTCGGTTGTCCTCCAATCAAGCTGCGACCTGATTAAGCTCTGCCCACATGTTCCATTGGCCAACTAGGCCAATTGGCACAATAAACCTAACTTTTATACCTGGTTTCTACCAAGCCTTTGTTCTGAAGAAAATTACTTTACCATTTTTTTCCCCCTCAAGAGTGACAGAGGAATTTGAGAACATAAAATCTTGAGCAATGATAACTTTTTCCTATTGAAATACAAGGGGCTGAGCATGTCCAACATGAAGTACAGTCAGCTTTGGAGACACAAAGGAAGTGCCGTCAAGAACCAAATGCCCTTGCCTCACCCTCTCGTGAATCAGCTGACATGTGACCGACTGTAGGTGGAGGAGGGCCTATGGGCTTCTTATCCTTGGCATCCCCCTGAGAGACACATGGATGGCGTTGCCACCAATTCTGAAGTAAAGGCTTAAGGAAAAGCAAGTCCTGTATGCTTCTGCTTCCTTATCTGGTTTTAGGGTCCTTGTAACCTTGAGGTGAGAAGACAGTCGTCTAATAAACTAGTTCCCCAACAGGCTGAATCAGACCAAATTCTATTTTTGTTTATTTTCTCTCCAGAACATCATCTTTTGCCAAATTCCAGCTGTAGACTGGAAAATGATCGCTGAATTTTAACCCATTCCTGGGTTGAGGGTATCAAAAGGGTAGGGTTTACGGCACTACTTCCATCTCTTCCTCTTTGCTTATGCCTCCTTCCTCTCATCTCTCACAAGTCCAGGTCATTTCACACGTCATTCTGCAGACACTCTGCTTTCTGAGTCCAGGAATTGGGGAGCAAAATGTCTCCTTCACAGCAAGTTTTTTTTAAAGCACCTTAAAACCACCTCCAAGGTTTTGGAGGCTTTCCGATCTCTAGTGAGTTAGCAAAATGTACAACTCTTTTGAGTGTACACAGTATAGTGTGAAGTACGTGATCGTTTGCAGTGTTAGCTGCTGCGCTATTTCAGGTGGATGGTGAAGCTAGAGCAGGAAGGAAGAACTGAAAATACACCATCATTCAAGTGAACGCATGAAGAGTTTTTCTCTTGATAGGAACTCTGCTCCTTTTCGTTTTGCTTTTTGGTATACTTTTGACTCTAGGCCAAGAAGAAATTAATGGTGAGCACCAAGAAGCACGAAGCCCTTTTCCATCTTGTCGAAAGCTCCAAGCAGTCTGTGACTGAGAAGGAAAGGCAGAAGGTAAGGTGCCGTGGTCCTGCAGCTGTGTGGGGCTGGGAGCCAGAGAGCGGTGAGCAGGGAGCACGGCTGAATCCCCAACCCGCCCTCCGCGAGGTCTCTGCTCAACTGTCCAGTGGCAGCGCAGCCCACATGTGCTTACATAATCCACACCTATTTGAAAACCTGTGTTTTTAAAAGAGACCGTGTGTCGCTTACTTTGGAGAAGGCATTGGGAGGCGCCAGACCCTGGAGATGGTAGAGTAGAGGGTCACAGACAAAGAGGAAGACCCTCAGCAAGACAGGTGGACACAGGGCCTGCAATAGTGTGCCCAAACACGACATTCAAGGTGAGGATGGAGCAGGGCTGGCAGCACTTGGTTCCGTTGTGCTTAGGGTCGCTGCAAGATGGAGCTGACTGGACAGCCCCTAAAAACATCAACCATGTAGACCAGCGATGCCTGATTTTTACTGGGCTCGTACAGCTCTTATCACAATCCACACATCCATCCCTTGTGTGTCAAGCACATTTGTACATTTGTTGCCATCATCATTCTCAAAACATTTGCTTTCTACTTGAGCCCTTGGAATCAGCTCATTTTTCCCTCCCTCACCCACCCCTCTCCCTCATGAACCCTTATAATAATTATTATAATAATTTATAATTTTTTTTCATGTTATACACTGAACGGTTATTGACTCCTTACTCCCCAAGTCCTACCCTGGGTGATTTTTAAATTTTAATTTAAAAAGCTATTCTTTAATGTGACAAAAATACATATCTGGTGCATATCATTCATGCTAGCTGCTCCCCTGGAGGTTGGCATTTTGAACCCACCCAGTGGTACTGTCGGGAAAAAGGTGTGAAAAATCTTCTGTTCAGATGACAGCCAAGAAAACTGGACTGAGAAGTTCTCGTCTTTAACACATGAGGTTGCAATGTGCTGCAACTGACCACAATAATGTACATGGTGTACCTTGTGTTACTTTAAATATTATGCTATTATTCCACACACATTATAAAACATACAAAGGAGAAATGTTCAAAGTGTGTGATGTCAGTTAAATAAACAATAGCCCCAGTGATTAGCTCACTCTGACTTCATACAATCATGAAGCAATAGTTCCAGGCACAATACACATTTGAGGCAAGGTTCTGCCTTAACCCTATTACATATAAATTCTTTAAACTTTGTTCTCAATTGCTTGTCTGATTTGGCTAGATTGTCCCAGTGTTAGTCTGGGTAGACTAGAGAAACAAATCCACAGAAACTGATATGTATATGAGAGATAGTTTTAGATAAAAGGTAAGTGTACATTCAGAAAGCACCCCAACCCAGTTCAGTCCAAGCCCATGAGTCTTATATTAGTCCATATGTCTGACACTGATCTACAAAGTCCTCCTCAAACTCACAAAACACACGCAATGATGCTGAATGCAGGATGATCACAGGCCAGTGGGTAGAAAGTCTTTGAATCCAGTAGCCCGGTAAACATCTCAGCGCTGGCAGGGGTCTCCACGTGACTTCTCCAGCACCCAGGGCAGCATCAGGGTAGGTCCATGTGGCTTCTCCTCAGGGATGTCTCACAGGAAGTGAGCCTTGCCAGCAGACACAGGGAACTGGCTAAGGCAGCCGCAACTGGTCCCACCATCAGAGAACAAGAGACAAGACAGGTCGGCTCCCTGAGCCATTTATCTCTCCGCCCTCCAATTAAGCCCACATGTGTCTATCGGCCAGGTTGGCACAATAAACCTTAACTATCACAGTCCCAGTGCAAGGTGTGACTGAGGACACCCTATCACCAAGAGCAGTAGTATCAGCTCTCCCCTGTTCTTATTCTTCCTCGGGCTACGTGATTAGTCTGAGCTTCAATCCATAGCTCCTTGGCAGAAACAGTTTGAAGACATTTATGCATCGTGTGTTTTCACCTAATGAAAACTGGACAATAACTCTGAGAGACCACATGACCAGGGTGCATGCAGATAGCCAGGATGTCCCAGGGGGATGAAATGAAGACACTTGAAAGATGCCTATCAGATTCTCATGTTGTCAAATCCCAGTCTTTGGAATCCACAACTGCCCATGTGTGGGCACCAGTCTTGATTTATCACATAAAAATAAAGCTTAGTAACTTCAATTTTAGTTAAAAAAAAGCTCTACAAAAACAAAACAACAACAAACCATGCCCTGCGTCAGTTCCAACACACAGCAGCCTTAGAGAGGGTTGCCGAGATGGCGAATCTTCATGGCTACAGGCAGTCTCCTTTCTCCTGCGGGGAAGAACTGCCAACCTTGAGGTTAGCAGCCCAAGTCCTACCTTACAGTGCCATCGAGCCTCCTTAGATGGAAGGGAAAATGTACCACAAATAATCCTCTCATGGGAAGAAAATTTGTTTTCTCTGCCTATACCCAATAGACTCTAGTGGTTCTCAACCTTCCTAATGCCGCAACCCTTTGGTACAGTTCCTCAAATTGCGGTGATGCCCCAACCATAGATTTATTTTCATTGCTACTACATAACTGCAATTTTGCTACTGTTATAAATCGGGCAACCCCTGTGAAAGGGTCATTCGACCCCCAAAGGGATCATGATCCACAGGTTGAGAACCACTGCAATAGGCTCTTGTACAACCCTAGCGGTATGGACCCCAGTTTGGAAGTCTTTGAGATTGTCAATATCTTCTCCCCCCAAAAAGATGTCCCCTTAAGGAAATGTAGTTAGAGCCTCTGTAATCTCAACTTTTAAAAATGGCAAAAGGGAAAGGAAACAAGCATTACAAAGAATTCTATCATTTCACAGAGGAAGCTGTTGGTTGAGCACGTTCAATTCATTGTTAGCAAGATTTTACAAGATTCTGATTTCTTCACATGTCAGTCCTCGCAGTTTAAAATGATCACAACAAGAAGAGAATAATGAGACGGCTTCGTAGGAGGCTAAACCACAGTGTGTTAACGTGCTAAGCATCAGGGCCTGTCTCAGGAGTTCTGAACGCTCATTAGCTCATTAAAAACTATTCTTTAATGATGCAAAATGAAAGAAAGAGCATGAATATCTTAAGTGGTGCATTTGCAGCTTCCCTGGGGAGTTAAGGTGCTTGATCTCCCCTTGTCTTTCCCCAGCCGGTGCTGGAACTATTGGCTGTCGTTCCCCCATGGACCCCATACTGGCGTTATCATCACCTAATCTGGTAGCTTTCTTCCTTTTAAAAAAATTTCTTTTAGTTCTAAACTAAACACCGAAGACAGAATTCGTTTTCTCATCTCACATGGAATGCCCACGATCCGTTCTCAACTGGTCCCTCAGTCTGCTCAGCGATCCTCCCAGGAGTCTCTTTGCTACAGAAACCAGTTTCCCTCAAGTTGACTCTGGCTCCTGGTGACCACATGAGTGCCAGAATTGAACTCCCCTCCAGAGTTTCCAGTGGTTGAATTTTTGGAAGTACATGGGCAAGCCTTTCTTCCAAGGCACCTCTGAGTGGAACTGAAAAGCAGCCAAGCACATCAGCCATTTGCTCCACTGCCACTGAGTTGACTCCAATGTAGAGTGATTCTAAATATGGTTCCCAAGGCTTTGTAAATCTTTAAGGGGTCAGAAGACCCATCTTCCTTTCTCGGAGCGACGAGTGAGTCTAAACCACCAACCTTGCAGTTAGCCGTCTAAATGCTTACTTGATCTAAATCTTCATTCACCTCACCTCTCTGTCCTCACCGCACACTCTCAGTCAACATTCTTGACTCCTGCCTTACAGTATAAACAGAAGTTGGCCAGCAAGAACACCTTCAACTTCCAGCCAGCTGTCATAGTATTTGCGCAAGCAGATTTTTTTTTTTTGTCCTCTGGTAGTAATGGGAGAGAACAATTCCTCATCCCTTGCTCTGATCCCCACACATCCTCATCTCGTTTTCCCATTCCTACTCTTTTCCAGGTATTATCAGCTCTCCTTTGTTTTACCATAAGATTTATTGAAGGGGTTGTCTGTGCTCTGTCTCCAGTTCCTCCTCTGTCCGCGCCTCAAACCACTCCTATAAAGCTTTCCCACCATTCCACTAAGAGTGTTCTTGTTACTGAAAACAATGTCCTCCTTCTTGCTAAACCCAGTAGGTGGTGTATAGTTCTTACCTTATTGAATTTCTTGGAAGGATGAAGCATTGTTGAGCTCTCTCGTCTAGAAACATGTTCTTCCTTAAACTCCGCAACTTCTTACTCTTGGTTTTCCTCCCTCTTTGATGGCAACTTTCTTCTAGCTTCCTTTCTGGGGTCCTTCTTTCTGCCTGACCCTGATATCTTGCTGTTCCTGAGGGTCCCTCTCCTGGGCCTCACTCTGTTTATTTTAATGACCATTGTGTTTCCAGAGTCCCACACAGAAATCCCATTACCAGGTCCTCAGTAAACAATAGATAATAAATATACTCTCAAGGCTTCAAGCCCCGCGTCTAGGCTGACAATAAATACTCAAAGATATCTTCAAGTGGCATCATTTTCCAAACAGCTTTCGTGTATCATACCCAATGTCCCGAATCAGGCTAATCACTTGTCTCTACGAAAGATTTTCTTTATTCTGGTGTTTTCTGCATCACTCAATGTCACTGCCCAGCTTAGCCTTCGAGTTCTAACTCCTAAAGCAAATACTTCTTAGGCTTATCTTCTTAGAACTCTCTCCACCACCACTGCCCTTCCTGAGGCCATCCGCAGCCTTTTGCTGGATAGCTGTAACTGATAGATCAGTCTCCTTTCTCGTGGCCTCTCCTAACTCTTCCACATATACAAGCCAAACTGACTTTTTTGAAACTCTAATATAAGCATATCATCCTCTTTTGAAAGCCTTCAGTTGTTTCCCAGTGACCTAGACTAAAGTACAAACGCTTTGCTATGGCCATTAGCACCAGCGGTGGGATTCAAGTAATTGGACAACTGGTTCACTGCCCTAATGACCATTTTAAGTATTAAAAAAGATATACCACACAGCAGTTTATTATTTGATACAGTTAATACTTAAATAAGAACAATAAAAGAGGTAGACAGAATTAGATTATGTCATAAGAAACAGTTTTAAAATGTGAATGAAAAAATTATATAAAACCTGACCAAGAAAAACCAAGAAAACCGTTATTTAAGGTATATTCTTTGCTTTTATCTGAGCATCATTGGCTGTGGGATTTATCCTTGACCATCTTTTCACTGTTGGATACAGTAGAGGGAGTTAGGCAACTTCTCTTTTCTGAACATATTAAATTCACCTTTAAAAACCCCTTTCGGCTTCAGTTGAACTTACACAATTGTTCTGACACTAATTCTAGCTTTTTGAACACTTTCAGGAACTGCAGAATCCACTTATAATGCTCTGTGGGAATGTGGGGTGTAACACAAAGCTGAAATGATTGACAGTGTGTCACCCCCTGGTTGTTTGGAGCTTTTTCTCTTTACGTTGTATGTATGCTTCTTTACTGAAGTAACAAACGCAAAGGAATAAAAATGTAGTATTTCATCGAAAGTGTAAGTTTTATGAAATGAAGAAATAAATATCACAAGATAGTTCCAAACAATTTTTCATACCTATGAACACAGTGCACATTAGTACGAATGCTTAGACTATGCTGTTGCTCTGACAAATGTTAAAAAGGAGTAAGAAGTGTGAATTTGTAATTTCTACATTGGGTGGCTACCCAGATGCCCACCTTAGAGAGAACCCTGATTACAAGTGCCATTTTAACAACTGGTTCGCTGAACTCAACTAAAAAATTGGCATCAGTTCTGCTGAACCATTGTGACTGAATCCTACTACTAGTTAACACTCTCCCTTAATTGACCTCTGCATTGCTACTTCCCTTCTCAAATTTTATACTCTACCTTTTCACACACACACACACACACACACACATACTTTTCCTTTTTTAATATTCCTGTAATATGCCATGTTGTTTTTGCCTCATGAACACCACTTCCAATTCAGATTGATTCATGCAGAGATCATTGCTTGAATGTCTGCTATGTGCCATGCCTCACCTTCAATGTCATTTTAATCCCAAAGCTGGGTAGCGGTGTTTGCCTTGTCTCCCCCGGAGATACCTACGTGTCTGGCCCCGATCACACAGAATGGTAATGGTCTGGGTGGGTCCGCAACTAGAGCAGGAACCTGTCATGTGCCCATTTCTATCCCCAGGAACATACATTGTGCATGACACAGTATAGACACTCAGCACACATTTGGTGCATAAATGAATGAAATGTTTATCCCAGGAGAAAATAAAGGGAAAAGGAAAAACAATTCAATGTTTGACAAATTTTCTGAACAGTTCGTTAAGTTAGAATATAGGATTCTCTATTCGCTTGTATCTGTTTGGCGCTAGTTGCTATTCATCTGTCAAGTAGAGACGTATAGTCAATACCCATATCCTGTAGGTTGAAAAATATGGAGTACTGGCCTCAAACATGCGTGTGCGCTCACACTGAGGTCCGAGCCTTCTCAGTGAGAATCCAAGGGCAAGGATCTCACAGAGTATCCTCATGGCGCAAGTTAGCCCTTCACTCGATTGTGATCAAGTTTAAATTCACAAGCTCAGGTTTCTACAGATAGAGATGGTTCATTACACTTGATATACAAAACCCCCAGTGCCCTGTGTGGGTCATACATCAGAGTTGTGGGCCAGGTGATGGCTATCGTATGAGTTGGAATGGTAAAGCGAGTGGCGTTAATATCCTGCATTTTGGAGAAGTGTTCTTCAGGACCATCATCTTAGTCCAAAAATGTCCTTAAATATAAAGTAGACATTTTTTAAAGTATTTTGTTTATATCCTTGGCCCTTCTAAATTCCTTAAGTTAAGGGCGTTGTTGGTGTTCCCTAAAGTACAGTTTGAGGACCACGAGTCGATCTTAGGCTGAAAAAGGACACTCACATTTCATGATTCCACTGCTGAATCAGAACTGCTACTTGTGGTCTGGAGGAATCTGCTATTTTAACAGGTCACCCACGTCGATCCGCCATCGAGGCCACTGTGACTCAGAGGGACCCTACAGGCCAGGGTCAAACTGCCCTGTGAGTTTCCAGAACTTTAATTCTTCCTGGGAGTAGAAACCCTCATCTTTCTCCCCGTCGTGCCCGGGCATACTCAATTTTGAGATGCATCCATTGCTGTGGGGTTGAGGCTGACTCAAGGTTACCCTTTGTGTGCCCCGGGGGCATTTCAATGGTTGACTTTTGGAAGTAAATAGCTGTGTCTTTCTTTCCGGGCACTCCTGGGTGGAGTTGAACCTCCCAACTTTCAGCTAGCAGCCAATCACATTAACTACTGGCACCACCAAAACATAAAAAGAAAACCCACCACTCTTACTGAGTTGATTCCTACCTGGAGCACCCTGTCGGGTAGAACTGCTCCTTGTGGTGCCTGAGACTGTAGGTTTCACAAGGGCAGGCAGCCTCAGCTCTCTCCTGTGGAGCAGCTGTGGGTTGCAGCCAGCAACCCATTGTTGAACCCACTACCTAGGAACCTGTAATCCAACTTTCTAATTTCTCAGAGAAAGGTAATTATTTGCCTGACCATTTTTTAATTGTAAACTAGGTGGGGGGTTACAGTCCAGATCATCAAATTGTGTTCAATCGTTTAAGCCACCAATCAAACACCCTAAGCGTATACCCCTCTCCTGCACTTGACTTTTATTCTCCCTCTTGTGGACTACCATCCTCCTCTTCACCCAAGTTAACACCCAGCTACTGTGCGATCCATTGCTTTAACTTGAAAAAGAACTTCAGCCACCCTGGTCCAAAGAGTTTTGGGTTACATGGATTTTCCAGAAGACTTATCAACCATGGACAATTTCAGTGATTGCCAGGAAAGACATTTGTTTGTTTGTTTGTTTGTTTGTTCAAAGGAGCAGAGCAGATCCTAGGGACACAGGGTGAAAGGGAAACATGGTCAATCTGTCCATAATCCACAGTGAACACTGAGTGGTCTCAGGAGCGCCACAGTAACCATACTTGTTCATCTTGATCGATGCTCTGTCGGGCAGGTGTCAGGGAGAGAGCTTATCTCCTTGTATCCCCGAAGCACCCACTGAAGGAGGAGCCGTCATTATCCCTGGCATAGAAATGAGCAAACTCTGGCTTTTGAAGGTTAAGCAATTAGCCTGCAGGCAGAACCAGCACACAAAAGCTAGTATTGATTCCAAAGCTAGACAGTTGACTTTGTTTAGTGACAGTAAAGGAAGGGTGTCAGGCCCACTCTAGTGGCCTAAAAATCATATAACCTAAATATCACATACTCTAGTTCTAAAAAGCATACAATCCCACGAGTTTCTACCTGTCCCGGAAAGAAATGTGACATCCCGGTACGTTTATCAATCTGCAGAGCTCCTCGGCAGATTGCAATCTGTGAACCGGAGGGTGCTGACCTGCACGGGCTATTCCTCTCCTGTGGCTTGGCCTTCTCGTTGGCATGATGAACTTGGACGTACAGGCCTTGTCTTCCTCATGTGTGGAATTCAGGAAGTCAGACTGAGAGGTCACTTGTTGGGGTTTTTTTTCTGGCTTTTTTCTCTGAGAGACCTTTGATTTTGTCATATAGAACTTAGGGCTTTGCATGAAAGAGGAGAAGCTTATAACTGGGACAGATAGGATTCTTTCTGTTAATGAATGTGTGACAACCATGTTTTACTTTAGCTACTCAACAAACTGAAAAAATCAACTGAGAAATTAGCAAAGGAAGAGGAAAATTACTACCAAAAAAACATGGCTGGCTATTCTACCAGACTGACGTGGGAAAACACATTGGAAAACTGCTACCAGGTAAGCTGTGCTGTCAATGGGTTCCACACTATCCCTCCAACTCTCTCCTTGGAGCTGTGTATGGCCTTGAAGGTGGAAGTGAGATCTGCAGCTATAAGACCTGATCTTTGTCTTTAGTTATGATCCTAACTCTTCCTTCCTACACCCTGCCCCCGGCCCCTTAGGACCCCTTGTGGCCTAGTTGGTTGTATGTTGGCTATTGACCACAAGGTCAGCAGTTCGAAACTACCAGCTGCTTCTCAGGACAAGGTGAGGCTTTCCACTCCCTTAAAGAATTACATACAGTCTCAGAAATCCACAGGAGCAGTTCTATCCTGTCCTACAGAGTTGTTATGAGTCAGAATTGATTCAAGGGCAGA